AGCACAATTCGAAGAGCGTAGTCAATGTCACTGAACTGTGTATGTAGAAATTTTTGAAATGGTGTATCTTTGGCTATGTGTATTTTCACCAAAAAAAAAAGAGGTTGAGAAGTTAGAGGGTTGATATGTTGTGGGGTTGTTAACCAATGTTATAAAACAACGTGTACTTCTGTTTCATGAGAAACTGTTTTGTAAACCTTCACCTGAAGTACAATAAAAAAAAAAAAATTAAACAAAAAAAAGACCAGACTTACTTGCCTGACAGAGACTGCAGATACCCTGAGAGTATGGCCCTTGGTCACCCTTTTAGCTCAGTAATAAAGTCACTCCCAAGTTTCACCCTTCAGCCAAAGATTAGACAGGCCCATAAATCAAAACGAGACTAAAGGGGCACACCATCCCAGGGGCAAGGACTAGAAGGCAGAAGGGGACAGGAAAGTTGATAATAGGGAACCCAAGGTCGAGAGTGGAGAGTATTGACATGTCATACGTTTGTTAACCAATGTCGTAAAACAATATGTGTACTAACTAGTGAGAAGCTAGTTCTGTAAACCTTCATCTAAAGCACAATAAAAAAAATTTTTTTGATTTGAGACCTTCTTTTCTGAGATGAGCATTTAATTCTTTAAATTTCTCTCTCGGTACTGCTTCTATGTGTTGCTTTTTTTTATTCAGTCCAAAATACTTTTTAATTTCCTTCGTGATTTCTTTTTTGACCCAAGCTGTCTTGGTTATCTAGTTCTGCTATAACAGAAATACCACAAGCGATGGCTTCAACAAAGAGAAATTTATTTTCTTACAGTTTAGTAGGCTAAAAGTCCAAATTTGGGGCATCGGCACCAGGGGAAGGCTTTCTCTTTCTGTTGGCTCTGGAGGAAGGTCCTTGTCATCAATCTTTCCCTGCTTGAGGAGCTTCTTAGGACAGGGACCTTGGGTCCAGAGGATGCACTCTGCTCCCGGCACTGCTTTCTTGTTTGTATGAGATCCCCCTGTCTCTCTGCTGGCTTCTCTCTTTTACATCTCAAAATAGATTGTATGAGATCCCCGTGTCTCTCTGCTGGTTTCTCTCTTTTATATCTCAAAATAGATTGAGTTAAGACGCAATCTAATCTTGTAGATCCCATCTACATAATGCCACTAATCCATCTCATTAACATAATGTTAGGATTTACAATGCGTAGGAAAATGACATCAGGTGACAAAATGGTGGACAGTTACACAATGCTGGGAATCATGGCCTAGACAAATTGATACACATATTTTTGGGGGACACAATTAAATCTATGACACAAGCATTACTTAGAAATGTTTAATTTTAAAGTATTTGGGGGAATTTTACATATATATTTCTGTTAGGAATTTCTAGTTAATTCCGTTGTTATCAGAGAAAATACTTTGTATGATTTCTGTTCTTTCAGATTTGTTTTATGTCCTCAAATATGGTTTATCTTGATGAATGGTCTGTGCGCATTTGAAAAGAATGTATGTTCTGCTGTTGTCGGGTAGAGTAGTCTACAAATTAATTAGGTCAAGCTGGTTGATAATGTGATTCAAGTCTTCTATATCCTTACTGATTTTGTGCCTGCTTGTTCTGTCAATTAATGATAGAGTAGTATAGAAATTTCTAACTCTTTTTGTGTATTTTTCTATTTCTCCTTTCATTTCTTTTAGTTTTTGCTATACATATAGCTAGCCCCTGATTTATGACATATTCAAATTGTAATGAACCACAGTTATGACCATCCTTTTTTGTTGTTTTTTATCAGGATAATATAATGGAAGAGATCAGTGGAAAAATCGTCTATATGGCAAGAGTGCTTAATTTGGAACTTGATATCAATGATGCGGAAAAGCTCATAGATCACAAAGAAGGGGAATTGACAGATCAGGACTTAATGGATTTTGAAGAGGAAAGAAATGCAGAAGAAGAAAGAAATAATGAGGAAGAGGAAGGAGAGAAGTTGTCAAAAAATTTACAGTGAAAGGATTAGCTAAAGTTTTAATTAAGTCAGGGGATTCAGTTTTTGAAAACAGACCTAAATGCTGATCATTTTGCTAAAGTCGATAGGCAGATTTGGCAGGTGTCTTAGTTATCTAGTGCTGCTATAACAGAATACCACAAGTGGATGGCTTTAACAAAGAGAAATTTATTTCTTCGTAGTCAAGTAGGCTAAAAGTCCAAGTTCAGGATGTCAGCTCCAGGGGAAAGCTTTCTCTCTGTGTTGGCCTTCTCATCAGTGTTCCCCAGGACTAGTAGCTTTTCCGCGCAGGGACCTCGGTCCAAAGGACGTGCTTTGCTCCCGGCACTGCTTTCTGGATGGTATGAGGTCTCCCCTGTCTCTCTGCTTGCTTCTCTCTTTTATATCTCAAGAGATTGCCTCGGGACACAATTCTGTCTTAGTCATCTAGTGCTGCTATAACAGAAATACCACAAGTGGATGGCTTTAACAAAGAGAAGTTTATTTCTCCACAGTAAAGTAGGCTGAAAGTCCAAATTGTGGCATCAGCTCCAGGGGAAGCCTTTCTCTCTCTGTCAGCCTTCTTCTCATCAGTGTTCCCCCGGACTAGGAGCTTCTCTGCGCAGGGACCCCAGGTCCAAAGGACACGCTCTGCTCCTGGCACTGCTTTCTTGGTGGTATGAGGTCCCCCTGTCTCTCTGCTCACTTCTCTCACTTATATCTCAAGAGATTGCCTTAGGACACAATCCAATCTTGTAGATTGAGTCCTGCCTTACTAACACACCTGCCCCCCATCCTCCCTCATTAACATCAAAGAGGCAGGATTTACAACATATAGGAAAATCACACAATACCAGGAATCATGGCCCAGCCAAATTGATAAACACATTTTTTGGGGGACATAATTCAATCCATGACAGCAGGCAATGAGATGTTACTATGAGGATATGAAGAAAAAGAGAAAAGGACCATACAGACACCTCTCACTAATTTTCTGACTAGAAATGCAATTTGCATTCCTGGGTATAATCCAAATGATCCAGAACCTTCCACAAGTGGAGTTATTACCGCAACTGCCGAAATGCTAGCATTGTCCAACTCTTCTTCATTGTCAGAGTACCTTTTTTTTTTTTTGGTCACACAAATCTTTACTAGATAAGATTTTACTAGCAAGTAGGCAAAAGAACAGTCATATCCCATCCAAACTCCCTGAGGGACTGACTTGCTGGGTGGAGGGCTGTTGGGACCATGGTCTCGGGGAACATCTAGCTCAATTGGCATAACAGTTTATAAAGACAGTGTTCTACATTCTACCTTGGTGAGTAGCGTCTGGGGTCTTAAAAGCTTGTGAGTGGCCATGTAAGATACTCCACTGGTCTCATCCCTTCGGGAGCAAGGTAGAATGAAGAGAACAGGATACAAGGAAAAGACTATTCTGAAGGACTAATGGACCACAGCTACTAAGGCCTCCTCCGGACTGAGTCCAGTACAGCTAGATGGTGCTCAGCTACCACCACTGACTGCTCTGACCAGGATCACAACAGAGGGTTCTGGACAGAGCTGGAGAAGGATGTAGAACAAAATTCTAACTCACAAAAAAAAGACTAGATTTACTGGCCTGACAGACTGGAGAAACCCCAAGAGTATGGCCCCCAGACACCCTCTTAGCTCAGTGGTGAAGTCATTTCCGAGGTTCACCATTCAGCCTGGGAGTGGACAGCCCCATAAAACCAAATGGGACTAATGAGGTACAGCAGTCCAGGGATTAGGGCCAGAAGGCAGAAGGGGACAAGGAAGCTGGTGATAGGGAACCCAAGGTTGAGTAAGGATATTGTTGATGTGTTGTGGGATTGTTAACCATTGTCATAGAGCAACATTTGTAGTAACTGTTAAATGAGAAACTATTTTGTTCTGTAAACCTTCATCTTAAATGAGAATAATGGCACAATTGAAAGAGTGTAGTCAATGTCACTGAACTGTGCTTGTACAAATTTTTGAAGTGTATCTTTGGCTATGTATATTTTCACCAAAAAAAAAGATCGAGAAGGGAGAGGGTTGACTTGTTGTGGGGTTGTTAACCGATGTCATAAAACAATATGTGTACTACTGTTTCATGAGAAACTATTTGTTTTGTAAGCCTTCACCTGAGGTACAATAAAAAAAAAAAAAGTGCATGAAAAAAAAACAAAATAAAAAACGGTCATATAACCTGCAAGCTCAATGAAGCCCCACCTCTATGTCCTTCTGTGTGCTCCAACCATTCTTTGCATGATAAATTCTTTTTTATTTTCCTAAATTTTATTTATTTTATTGCTGTTTAGAATAGCACAGCAAAACATACACTAATTGAACAGTTTCTACATGTACTATTTAGTGACATTGATTACATTTTTTGAGTTGTACAACCATTCTTACACTCTTTTTCTGAGTTGTTCCTCCCTCGTTAACATAAACTCACTGCCCCTAAGGTTCCTATCTAATCTTTCGAGTTGCTGTGGTCAGTTTGATCGCATGTAGATAGTTCTTAAAAGAGCATAATGCTCAAGGTAGACTTTTTTTATTAGTTAAGCTGAACTGTTTTTTGATTTTAAGATGAATCAAGGGATATTTTTGGTTTAAGGTATAAAGATTATTTGAGGGCAATAGTTTCAGGGTTCATCCACTCTCCGTGGCTCCAGAAAGTCTACAGTCCATGAGAATTTTAAATTCTGGTCTGCATTTTCCCCCTTGTGATGAGGCTTCTTTTATGGAATCTTTGATCAAAATGTTCAGTAATCAGGGAGGTGGAGCCAACATGGCACTATAGAAAATGTTCAGTAATGGTAGCCAGGCACCATCCAGTTCTTCTGGTCTCATAGCAGAGGAGGCAGTTGTTCATGGAGACAATTAGCCACACATTCCATATTCTTCTATTCCTGACTCTTCCTCTGTTGCTCCAGGTGAACAGAGACCAATTGTTGTGCGTTGGATGGCTACTTGCAAGCTTTTAAGACCCCAGACACTACACAACAAACTAGGAGGTAGAACAGAAGTACTAAACATGTTATTAGGCCAATTAACTGGGATGTCCTATGAAACTATGGCCCTAAACCTCGAAACCGGGAGCCAAATCCCGTGAGATGTTTAGATGTACATAGGCAGCTTCAGCAGCTGCTACTTTTTTTTTTTTGTCGTCGTAAATATATCTATCACACAACTTTTGCCAATTCATCTCTTTACAGGTGTACAACTTGACAGCAATTACAGTTATCAGCTTTGCAACCCTACCCTTAATACTATTTTTCCATCACCATTAACCCCCTTTCTCCCTTCTCTTTTACTCTTGGTAACCACTAATAAACTTTGCTCTCTCTACATTTGCCTTTACTTGTCTTTTTATATAAATGATGTCATACAATATCTGTGCTTTTGTGATTGGCTTGTTTCACTCAGCATGATAACTTCACACTCCGTCCATACTGTACCATGTATCAAGACTTCATTTCTCCTATTGGTTGAGTACTATTCCTTTGAATGTATGTTCCACATTTTGTTTATCCATTCATCTGTTGATGGGCATTTACGTTATTTCCACCTTTTTGCTATCGTGAATAGTGCTGCAGTGAACACTGGTGTACAAGTCTTTTTGAGTCTGCTTTCAAGTCTTTTGGGTACATATCTATGAATGGAATTCCTGTGTCATATGCTAGTTTTATTTTTAGTTTTTGAGGACCTGCCACACTGTTTGCCACAATGGCTATAGCATTTTGCATTCCCACTAGCAAAGAGTAAAGGTGCTGTCTTAGTCATCTAGTGCTGCTATAACAAATGCCACAAATGGATGGCTTTAACAGAGAGAGATTTATTCTCTCACAGTCTAGGAAGCTGGAAGTCCAAATTCAGGGTGCCAGCCCCAGGGAAAGGCTTTCCTTCTCTGTTGGCTCTGGGGAAAGGTCCTTGTCATCAATCTTCCCTGGTCGAGGAGCTTCTCAGTGCATGGACCCTGGGTCCAAAGGATATGCTATTCTCCTGGCTCTTGTTTCTTGGTGGTATCAGGTCCCCCTCTCTTTCTGCCCACTTCTCTCTTTTATATCAAAGAGATTGACTTAAACCACAGCCTAATCTTGTAGATTGAGTCTTGCCTCATTAACATAACTGCTGCTAATCCCACCTCATTAACATCATAAAGGTAGGATTTACAACACATCGGAAAACCACATCAGATGACAAAATGAGGGATAATCATATCAATACTGGGGATCATGGCCTAGCCAAGTTGATGGATATTTTTGGGGGACAGTTCAGTCTGTAAGAGGTTCCAATTTCCCCACATCCTCACCAGCGTTTGTGATTTTCTGTTTTTTTTTTCTTTTTTTTTTAATCTTAGCCATCCTAGTGGGAGTGAAATGGTATCTCATTGTGGTTTTGATTAGCATCTCTGATAGCTAATGACGTTGAGAATCTTTTCATGTGTTTGGTGGCCATCTGAATGTCCTCTTTGGTGAAATGTCTGTTCAAGTCCTTTGTCCATAATATGATTGGGTTATTTGTATTTTTGTTTAAGTTGTCAAAGTTTTATATATATTTTGTTTATTAGGTTCTTGTCAGATATAGGTTTCTGAAGTTATTCTCCCAGTTGGTAGCTTGTCTTTTCACTTTTTTGGTAACGTCATTTGAACAAACGTTTTTAATTTTTATGAGGGCCCATTTATTTATTGTCTTTCACTGTTTTTACTTTTGTTATTATACTAAATAATCCATTGTTGAAAGCTAGGCCTGACAGTGATGCCCCTGCTTCTTGTTCTAAGAATTTTATGGTTTTAGTTTGCACATTTAGATCCTTAATCCATTTTGAATTCGTTTTTTTGTATGGTATGAGGTATGGATCCTGTTTCTTTTTTCTGCATGTAGAAATCCAATTTTCGCAGAACCATTTATTAAGCTGGCTTGTCTTAGGCTGGGTTCTCTGGAGAAGCAAAACCAGTGAAGCATACATGTGTATATAGATAGAGGGAGAGAGAAGGAGAGAGATTTATCTCAAGGAAATGGCTGACATGGTTGTAGAGGCTGGCAAGTCCCAAGTCTGTGAGTCACGTGTCAGGTGTCAGACTTCTCACTCACATAGCTTCAGGGAATGACAACCAATATTGGCAGGTCAGGCGGCAGGCTGCTGGCTCACAGGC